GGGGGGGGGTCTTAGTGATCCGCAGTAGTAAATCCACCGCTTTCTATGGAAGGTTTAATTTAAAGGAAGCTACTCATTTGGCATTCCTTGAGTGGCTACATGATTCGCCACTGGTGCGAAACACCTCTGGGGGTGCCACTTTGCAGCACCTCCCCTCTGGGGGGTGGGTGGCGGGGGAGTTCACGCAAAGGGATTTTTCGAGGGGGGGGGGGCATGAGAGCTTCGGCTCGGGCCACCATTCCTTATGAATGATTAGTAGTCGGAGAAATGGTCACAGTTACCCGAGGGTCTGCTTGCAGCTTCTGGTCGCAGTATTACTGGCAATGTTTGGAGAAGAGCTTGGTTTCGAGAATCGTCCCGGTGGTATAGTCTTTGAGAACATCGGTATTGATTGTAACAAACAGGGGCCTTTTTAAGCTTTTGCGAATATACGCGTCACATCTAACAGAGTTGCGTCTAAGGCGGTCTTAGCTGGTTTGCGAATTAACAGTACCAATACTATATGACAGATGGTTCGAGATTAAAGCGGTCTCTCGTAGTTTGCGAATAAAAGCATAAGCATAAAGCAGTCCACTCTGGCTCGAGGATAGAGCAGTGGCTAAACTAACGATTTTGTATCACTGCCCTTGGGAGTAAGCCCTCTAAACCGCCATTCATTTAAACACGTTTGCTCGCAGCGTTTCTCCCCACTTCTTCCGTAAAAAATAAAAGGAGTAGCTTCCCCTTTTCGTGATCTCGTCTGATATACATCACGCCCGTCTGTTTGAGTTCAAGTTTGTTCATAATTGTCTCCATTATTTGCCAGGCACTCATATTCGGGGCTCTCTCCTTTCTCTCCGGATTTCAATAATAGTAAAAAAAAAAAAAAAAAAAAAAATCTCCGCTTTTCACACCGCCCAACAAAAAAAAAAACCCCCCCCACCCCTTGTGTGAGTTCTGTTTATATATATATATATATATATATATATATATATATATATATATATATATATATATATATATAGAGAGAGAGAGAGAGATATATATATATATATGTATATGTATGTATGTATATAATATTTCAATCGACTAAGATCACAAGCATCAATTCCATTTATTGATAAAACATCACTAAAAGAGTTTCAATTTCTAGGCTCTATGGTTAAATGCATTACAAATTCAGCGGTTCCTAAGATAATTGAATCTAAAATATAACAGGGTGGGCCTTTCATGATCAGTGATCCCCTTTAAAAAAAAAATTAACTGGGGGAAAAATAGACTTAACACACATATTAAGGATATTTTTTTAAGAAGAAATTTTAAATTCAAAAACAAGTAAATTTTATCTTACAGCTTTCCAAATATTTTGTGAAATAGAAATGTTCGAAGAAATAATTCTAAAGATAAGCTTGAATCACTGTTATTTTTTTGAATGGTGTTTCTGATATGTGTTGCTGCT